TCTTGAGCCGGTGGGACCTTGTGTTCGCGATCCGCTTCGTCATGCCTCGTCGCACGCGCACTACACGGCCGACAACGAGTGACCAGTTGTCAGCCGGAGGTGACGTGCACGGATTTTGCAAGCGCACGTCGTCGGGGGCAGCAGAATAGCACGACTGTATCTCACGGTGCGGTAGCTGAGTGGCTCAACAGGAACTGGCGTGGCATTGGACATTCGAGACAAAAACGGACAGGACAGTCTCGCTGGAAAGTCGACGAGGAAGCAGAAGACAGCAGGATGTCACAATTTTGCGGGCACGGTTAGCCCTGCTGGTTCTCTCGATGCAGTGCTGACTGCTCCAGGTGCGGGACACACTCCTGCTTCTGCGGCGACTCGCTGCAGAACAGGCGGCCTTCATGTTAGATCGATCTCCTTCTTGATGCACCGGTCCGATCTGCTATGCGGTGCCGCCCAAACCGCGAGCCAGGCTTGCTGACACAGGGTGATCTCAAGGCCTACACATTGGTTTGGCGCCATGCACTTCGACTGTCCCAAAAGACAATGAATCGCAGGAAATGCGAAGCGTGAACACTCAAGAAGCAACAGCAGGACGGCTGAGAGCTGGCGCAAGCAGCTCGGGCACGTGTAGAAGGTGCTGCATTAAACTGAATAACAGAAAGGGACTCCGAGTAACCAATGCACAATGTTACCACAATGCCTCACTGGTCACTTCTGTCGTTGCTGTCTCAACCATTTGCATGTCCGAACCATTGCGCAACGGCTGTTTTTGTATATGTCAATGTATGCATGAATGTGTTCGTGCGTGTGCGTCCGAATGTATATGCGTGTGTGTGTGTGTGTACCAACGTATGCCGAGACGATGACTTTTCTTCAGAACACTACAGGATCCGGAACCAGTAAGACCTTCTATTGAACTCAGTTTCAACGACAGATGCTCAGCGCGTGGCACGACTCAGTAGCCGTTGTCTGTCGCAGCTAAAAGCATGTTACAGTCGTTGAATTTGAAAGCGAAGGCCCAGTTCAGTCGCAAGCACAAACACATCATTCCTGGTAAACACTGTAGAAATCCGATGCCGATAATCGCTGTGAGCAGGACGCTGTAAGACTGTGAAAAGCCACAGCCTTTCGCCATGACCCAAAAGGCAACGTCCGAGAAGACGTCATACTTCCCCAAGCAGGTCAGCGACACGTGGAAGGCGACTTGCAGGCGATGGTGTTTGAGGTACTTCAGACCCTTTTGAGTCTGAGCGATAAGCCAATATTCGAATGCCACAGAAGACAGCAGCAACAGAACAAAGCCTCCCTTGAATACTGCTGAGATGCCATGACAGGTGTGCTCATCCGTTTCGAAGATGCTGGCTTGTAAGTATGGAAGGAATGCGACGTAGAGCCAGAATCCAGATGACAGCAGCAATAGGCAAGTATATAAGCTGGTGCGAGAAGTTAACAAATCCGGGACATCCTCGTACACAGTTCGATCCATCGCCTGCACAGACTCCGGATGTGCAGCCGAATACTTGTGAGACGCTCGGTTTTGAGCGTGAGCAGCCACCCATGCCGGCGTCCCTCTTGCATCTTCGTGGTCTTGGTTTTCTAGCAGCACCTCCGGCAGCACTGTTCCATCGATTGCAGCCTTCTTCCACGAGCTTTGCAGCGTTGTTTCTGACCGCAATCTCTCGACACTCTGCTGCAGGCGACGCTGGTCGTCACGATGACGCAGCTCTGCAATATATTCGTTGACAGGTCCGCCTGCAGAACATGCTAGTCCTGCAACGACGGAGCTAATAGTGAACGCTCGACTCGTCCAGTGCAGTTTCTGCCAGAATCTGCAATACTCCTTGGATAACATCTTCAAAGAACAAGCGGACGACGCCCACAACCCTTTTCACGAATGCGCCCTGAGAATCAGACATTGCCTTCTTCACGTCATCATGGATGTTGATGTCAAAGACCCACATGTCACTGTGGTACAAGTTGTCATCCCACACTCCGCCACCAGACAAACATATCCGCGTGCCGATGCCACTCGAATCAGGTAGCCCAACCATCACAAAGCCATCTCGCTTTGTCGCAAGGCAACAAGACCGCATCCAAAACGATCCACTGGCGGACTACCCTGGCAAATCACACGCGACCATCTAATAGTTAAAACATCGTCTGAGTCATCTGCATCTGACCGCATTGGAAGTGAGATATCGGCCAGAAACATTGACATGTCCTGCTGCTCGTGATGACAAACAACGAAGCTCGTGGCATTACATTGGGCGACTTGGAAAAATTCCCGGGCATCTGGAACTTCTCCAGCCCCCCTGCAAGATTTCCAGCAGGCTGCAGCCAAGTCCAGCTGTGCCACATCGCTAGTTATCTCGTCGCCCAGCACAAGAAACGAATGCACCATGACCAAACCACAACATCCTGACCTTGGCCCTGGCTGCCTGCCAGATGCTTGGACCCGATGCCACCGCGATTGGCCGATTCTCAGTAACCAGCAATCCCGCAATTGCCGCCCCTCTGACATACCCCCATATACGATGACATGTCCAGGCCAGCCCTCGGCAGCATGGCCGCACGTGCTTCTGGCTTGGCTGAGTCCACGGCAAGCACAACCTCCGTCCACCGTCGCTGCAATGCATCGAAAACTCACGCATCATCAAAGCACGATCTTTCACCTTCCTTCTGACACCATCCACCGAAGATCAAGATTGACTTGTATCAAGAGCCGTCGCCGAGTGCGCAGCTCGCCCCCTGAATCCTCCGTGTGCAAACACATTGGTCCAGCGTTTGGAGCAATTCAGCAGCACCTGGCCATATTGATCTTCAGCCTGTATTAGCGGTGCAGCTTCAATCATGCTTAGTCGCTGCAGGCAAGCAAAGTTTTAGCTGCGCAAGGAGATGCAGCTACAGTCTACTGGACTCTAGACTCTAACGAACCAGGCCATTTGGCCTGTAACTGCAAGGCTGCACTTGCAATCCGCTGAATCTGACCAATCTGATCTGTCATTATTCTGCATCCGCCTCACAACCCAAGACTTGGTAGCTCACTCTGCATCGAAGCATGGCGAGGGTGTTTTTTTCTTCCAGGGCCACGCTTTGTCGCAGTCCGTGGTGACACCACGGCGGCACCCCAGCGACAGGCTCGGCCCTTGTCGGCTCACGGCTTCGGCTTCTTTGGCTTTGCTGGTCCCGCTGGGCCCCTGGGAGATTCTGAGATCCGAAAAGCAAACAGCGCCATCTCAGATGTCTGAGGCACCGGCTTGGCAGGGCCAATCTTTTCGGCCTGGAGTGCACTGCGGCAGAGACACTTGGAGACATTGTAAGGATGCCTGTCTGATCCCATCTGCTTGAAAACGAAAGCTCGCCCGAGGAGGTGCGTCTGCGCTCCGAACAGCATTGGATAGCATCCGGCTTCCTGCCTTCCGCTTCTCCGGGCCAGCGCTGGGCCCGACTGGTCCGACGGAAGGGCCAGCGGAAGGACCTCTTCAAGAAGAAAGTTTTATTTTTTTTCATAGGTTCTTGCAGAGGGCCTTTGGGAGGTCCCGCCGGCCCGACGGGACCTACGGGCCCGACAGGCCCTCTGGGTCCAACCTGACTGACTCACAGCAGACTGAACAGATTGAAAAATCATGTTGCACCTTAGGGCTCCGGCACTTGGACCGACGCCTGGGCCAACTGGACCTGAGGATACGGCGGATAAGGCTCCATGCTCCGCATTGCTCCGTGCTCCCGCCTCGTGGACCAGGGCCAGCCTCAGAACTCATGGGAAGACAAAAATCACCGAAGCCCCCACGGACCACTGCAGGCCGAGGCGGCTGCGCCGGGGCCTCTTTGCGGCCTCGCCGGGCCTCGGGAAGCAGAGCACAGAAGTGCGAAAAGCAGAAGCGGCAGCAGGAAGACACAAGCATGACCGTTTCCCTGTGCCAACACTCTGTCGCACGTTTCAGACTCGAGCCGACGCCGACGCCAGGCCTCGGGTACGGATGCTGCTATGCCGCGGTTCATCAAGACCGGGGTGCCAAGAATCGGACTTTGCATCGCTGCCTGGGACGAATTGACTGTGCCATAAAGGAGATTTTGGTCATGTAGCCCTGAAGCGTTTCTCATATGCCAAGCCACTGTAGTCTTTTCTCCTCTTGGGCGGAACAGGCTCATAGAGCTTGGGGTTATTCCTGGCCAAGGCACTGATGCATCACAGCGTAACACCATCAACGTATTACATTTGCAGGGAGAGTTCTGCAGTAAGTGTATGCTCCGATTTCTGTCACTTGCCCTGTTCGCTTCAATTCATCGCATCCCAGCACAGAAATCTCCACCTGGCCTGGTGCGCACATGCTCATCTAGCCCATCATGGATGATGCCGTGCTACTGGGGATGCTCTTGGCTGAAACCGCAAATGGAATCCTCGAGTCACGCCATGCTTCCCAACAATTAACAGGAATCAACTGGGGGGGTGGGGATGGAGGGTCAACTACAAAGGTTTGGGAGACAGGGCAGCAAGCGGCTCAGCACTTAAGGTTAGAGATCATAAGAGGCTGCTTTATGGAGGCTGCAGAAGGCAGAAAGGAGATGGGAGGGAGAAAAGCTTTAGCATCGGGCCTCAGCTCCTCGTCCAGCGCCCGCAGCTGCGCCGTGAAGCCCTCGTTTGGGCATGCCTCGTCGAAGCTTGAGGCTGAAGTTGCGGCACGGCAGACCAGACCACGCCTGCGTCCGGGCGTCCTTCGCGATGGCCATGGCCTCGTCGAAGGTCTTCCTGCGGACAAGAGGTGGTGACGACACTAATCTTATGAGGCTGATTCTGTGATGCTGCTGACGATGATGATGATGATGTTGATGATAATGATGACGACAACGACGACGACCCGAGCACATGCAAGATGTTCTCCACATCTGGCCACAGCAGGACTTTGAGCGCACGGTTGCCAAGGCCATCCACGCTCCTATTTGCTGCTCGCATGTTAACATATCAAGCCCGTGAGCAATTTTGCCCAGGGTCTTACGCAAATCTATGCAGGCATCGTCTCACTTATGCAGTCCATGAAGTCCTGAAAGAGCTGCAGCACTCAAGCTCTCTCCAAAAAGCAGCCGCAGCAAGCCGGAATGTGTAACAGACCAGACGACATCCAGCACGAAACAAGCCACCCGCCTGCATGCTTTCCAATGTCTCTCGGCGTGTGCTGCTCTCGATGATCTGCTTTACAAAACACCTTCAGCCAGCTGACCAACGAAAACACCTGCTTGTGGGCAATACAGCCATCAGCACCTGTCGACCCAGTTGATGCCAAGGCCCATGTCGACCGAGACCTCGATGTCCGGCCACGTGCTAAGACCCTCACATATCCGATCACTGCAAAAGCCAGTTGTCGTTAGATCCGCACTTGTGGTCCCTTGTCGCTGGGGGCCTGCAAAGTGCAGATAGCTGGTTTCAGCTGGTGCTCCACGAGTGTCTGACGGTCCATGCACTCTGCACTGCGCAAAGCAACCAGGCGAAATGTTGGGAGGCCGACCTCCACGAAGGTGTGCTCGTGGTGCACACGGAAAGAATTCGCATACGGAATGTCCTGATCACCATGCGAGGAAACGACGACAAGCCTCTGCTCTCTGTCCCTCCCTGAAGCTGTCTGGAAGAACTGTTCGGCACAAGTGATACTCCTTACCTTGACCCACACTCTCTGTGCAGCTGAGCAGAATGCAAGAGCTCTGGTCACCTTTTGGAGGATGACCTGCCGGTCTCTCGCTCGGACACGTAGCTGCACTTTGAGGCTTCGCTCCATGCGCGAGGAGACCCCTTAGTCCTATGCCCGACTCCACCCTTCTGCCGGGCAGGTCGGACTCAGACTGCTCCACACGGGTGGCATCGTTGCAAAGAAATGTCACAACACACTGGACATGCTACAGCACAGTCAGCTGCTATGAATCAGCAGTACTGAATACTAGTCCTCAGGAACTAAGCCTTAGTATGTTGTTAGCTTTTCCAGCGATGGACAATAGGTCAGTCAGTGAACTGCATTGGGTTGACTCTCGGCGTGCCTTTGACCCCTCTGCACTGGGACAGAGGAAGTAAACCAAGGACCTTAAAGGGAGAACATTCACCTCACACACAAAGGCAGATTGGACAAGTATCCTGCACTCGGGTCTTCTCCGGCGCCATTGGTTGGGGCCTGAGCCACTGGGTTCTAGACTGAGCAAGGACCCTACTCAGCAGAGGATGCGGCTTCAGTGGCTGCACAAAATGCAGGCACTTCACCAGTCCTCCTGCCAGCGGCTCCCAGTCACGTTCGACCTGCCAAGGACGTCCGCGAGAATCCAAGGGAAGAGCAAAGTGGCTTGCACCGGCATGGCCTAATGCATGTTAAGATCTGTAATATTCCTCGTATCCTTCGAAGTACCTAAAGACATACTCCTCATTAGCACTAGCACTTCACTGCTGAGCACGAATTTGGACTCAGGAGTTTGGGGGGTCAAGTCAACAGTCTTTCTTGGGTCCAGCCTCTCTCTCGCAAGTCTCTCCCCGAACCTCTCCTGAACCTCTCTCCCAACCTCTCCCGAGCTTTCTCGGTTCTTTGCCTGGCACCGAACCTCGCTGAAGCCTTTCCCGAGCCTTTCCCGAGTCTTCCCCTGACCCTCTCCCGTGACTCTACCGACCTCCTTTCTGAGCTTCTTGAGCCTCTCCTGCGTCAGACCTATCATCTCCCGAGCCACTCCCGAGCTTTTTCCCTCTCCCGCACCACTCCTCAACCCGAGCTACTCCTGAGTTGTAGGCAGACACATCCGGAACACGTCCTTCCGAGTACAACCTCGAAAAACTCCTTGAACAGGCCGAATTACAGTCGCCCTGGGGAAGCAAGCTTTCCTTAGAATTTTCCAGGACTTCCGACAGCGAATATCCTAAAGCATGCCTCGCATAAGTTTGGGTGTATTCCTATTCAGAAGATTCGGTCGTGCAATGCTTGCATGGCTTGCTTGCAATGCACACGACGTGCTGACCCAACTTTCGCAAGCTGACTCAGCAAACCACAGCACACCCATGTGCTCTTTCTCTTGCATGCCCGCTTCTGCCGTATGGCCCAGCCGAACAATTCGGCCGAATGCTCATGGTCACAAGAATTTACCCTTCCCATGACAGCCGTGATCGTCTTGTGCAGGCAGAGATCCTGTTGGGAAAAACCCTGCTGCTAAGCAGGCCGGTGGCGCCATGTTCTGGGCGCCCATTCTGTCATGCAACCTTGTCCGGGGCAGGTTTTGCTCCGAGCTTCTGAAGGCACCTAAGGCTGACCAGCCAGCCGTGCTACTAAACTAGTAGCCTGGCCTCATGATCGGATTCTCTCGGCCGTTGGTGCTGAAGATTTGTCGCACCTGACATTCAACTGCCTCCAAACTCATCCAGGCCCGCTGCAACTGCACGAAAAAAAATTCTGCGCAGGTGCCTTCGAGATGGTCAACCCATCAGGCAGCACAGCCGTGAAAACAGATCGAGTCGGACAAGGCGGCGATCCTTGCAAACACGAAGCTCATGCCGCGACGTTAAACAGCAGGCAAGGAGCATCCGCCTTTGGTGAGCTTGAGCTCTTCTATCAGCACGTCCATACCCGGCAGAGGTGGTGAAACACCTGGCGGCAAGGCTACGCAAGCTCATTGCGCCCATCTTCGTCCCGGCAAAGTCTGGTAGCTTCGTGAAGCGGAAGACCTTGAGACGATTGCTGCCACAGCTGCTGCAGGACCTGCGCTGGCCTTCGATCAGGCACAACACTGCGTTGCGGATACTGGAGATTTGCTGCTGCATCCGTGCATACCTGACTTGTGGCACATCCACCGAAGCTGATCTGCCATGCTTGATATTTATGCTGCGCTTTTTGAAGACATTCTCCTTCCGAGAACAAATTGTACCATCTCAGACTCTTGCTGAGAATGGCACAAGGTTGCCACGCACAGTGCTCCACTGTAAGTGCCGTACCCAGCAGTACCAAACCTCGACTGAAGCACATCTCACCGCCCGTTAGCCGCTGTTCAGATCTGAGGAGTCTCTGAATGCCGGCTGGCAGCTGGAGCCTGAGACGGCCGGGTGGCTTCGAGAGCTCCAGCTCGGCCTGAACGCGGGAACGCGGAATGCGAGAACGCACAGTGAAACCGGTCTGGCTCAGAGCAGAGACTCCTCGCAGAGGTTGCTTTGCCGGGACCTCAACCAGTCTCCCTTCCACAGGGCTCCCTGTGACACAAATCTTGCAACAAATGGAAGAGGGCCCGACGATGGCTTCGAGGACTGGCTGGGTGTCGCATTAGGGTCGAAGACCGAGACACCTGCGATCCAGATCTTCAGTCATCTTTAGTCGGGACTCGGCGCTACTTTGCAGCACTTCCCAAGGTCAAGCCTGCATCCGACACATCAACAATCCGCAGTCCTCTAATTCCTTTGCAGTCCCCTCCGAGCTGCCAGCGTTGGACGTCAGTCCAGGGCATCAGCTCCGTTGCTCGCTCAGACGACACCTGACTCTCAGTGTCGTGAGCTTCTTCCGCCCAGGGCAGCTTCCAGTGCGCATGGTGCTGGGAAGCTGACGAAGAATCCCTGTGTGCTTTGACTGCTTTGCAAGGAGAAGCCAGCATCCTCAGCTCGCTTAGCCAGCTGTTAACTGGTAGGTTTCCTTGCGCCTGCAAGAGAACTACCGCGGACAGTGGCCTTTGCTCTAATCGCATGCCCTTATGCGACAAGGCCCCCCATCCACGCTCCCAAGTATTCTGCCACCGTAGACCGTAGATCCCAAGCAATGAAACAGCACCTAGCAGTATCAGCTCACAGACTTGGATGAGTCCGGTTCCATGTCAGGCCTTCTTTGGTCTTGGATGAGTCCTGATGTAAGTCACACCCTCCTTGACTTGGATAAGACACCTTTTGTCAGGCCCCCCTCAGTCTTGGATGAGACGCCCCCCTCGGTCTTGGATGTGTGCTGGTGTATGTCACGCCCCCCTCGGTCTTGGATGAGCCCAGTTGTATGTCACGCCCCCCTCGGTCTTGGATGAGTCCTGGTGTATGTCATGCCGCCCTCGCTCTTGCATGAGTCCCGGTGTATGTCATGCCCCCCTCGGTCTTGGATGTGTGCTGGTGTATGTCACGCCCCCCTTGGTCTTGGATGTGTGCTGGTGTATGTTACGCCCCCGTCGGTCTTGGATGAGCCCTGTTGTACGTCACGCCCCCCTCGGTCTTGGATGTGTGCTGGTGTGTGTCACGCCCCCCTCGGTCTTGGATG